TAGAAAAAATATAACGTTAATACATCAACAACAATAATATTTTTTTTTTCGTAGTTAATTTATTTAATAAATAATTTGTTGATATTTTAAAAATTTTAAATGAATGAGTGGCTTTTAATTGAGTAGTTTATTATATTTCTAAATAAATAATATTTTTAGTTTTATCATCAATAGGAATTAAAATGTTTTGATGGCAATGTCCACAGTTTGAAATAATCCTAGATACTTTAGTGAACATCATAACGAATATTATAACGCATACTATATCAATAGCTAAAGTTAATACAAAAACTATCAAGAGGTTATTAGGAATCATAGTGCAATATTTCAGAAAAATCGGTCTGTAGGTCCTGCGCCAATAACCTAAGAACCGCTTAGTACTATATACACAGTACTTAGTGTAGGTATAGTCGTATAGATCAAACTTTAAAGTTAAGAACATCATAATATGTGTATGATGTGTGAACATAGATATTTTACTATAATTTAATGTGTTTGCAACAATGTTAAACTGTAACATTTTATGTACCTTTAACCTAAATAAAAAAAAAACTAAAATATCGTAAAAATACCAACGTACTAACACAGATAAAATTTTTGATTTTAAACTTGATAGTATTAGGTCAATGCATAAAATGTCAAAGCAAACACTGCAAGATTTAGGACATAAGCTTACTATATTAATATGATACACATGATTCAAAGAGAAAAAACAAACAATATGCTAACATCCTTTTATGATAATGCATTGTGATTCATCATTGTCAATAATTTGTCTAGAAATTTGTCTTTAGTTTAGACTTTGGTTTATTTTTAACTCGATAACCTAAAAACTTGGATTCGTGTTCGTGTATAACGACGTTTTATCATGATATATTTATATTGTTGACATATAATTTATGACATAACTTCAAATCTTTATCTATTAGTAATTTATTTATTTTACATATTTTGTAGGTACCTTATAATAGTTGCTCTGTTTCTGCTTGATATAATAATTCACATATCTATGGCCACAAATATAACTAACAAATGTATTCAACCAATTATCAACTACAGATGATTAAGTAAGTACATTAGTAAGTAGACAAGTATATAACAGCCGTAGATTTTTATTTTATTGTTTCCCCAACCGATTGAAGTCGATAAAAAAAAAATATTTCCTGATTCAAATTACTTAAATATGTAATATTATAATAAAAGATCCCTCACTATTTGTTCTTAAATCTGTATATAACTATCAAAAATACATATTAAGTATAATTTTTTTTTAAATCCATTTGAAAATCAAATGTTAAATCACTAACATTAAAATTATTGTTTTCTACGATGAAATTTCAAAACATTTAAAATTTTAAGCCATTTATTATTTATACCACAAAACCCGTTCTATGATGATTCATCAAGTATTGTCGTATTGACAGTTAATAATAACTAATACTAAATAAAAAATTAATTATAACTTTTGAGATTTGATTTTGGCAAACGTGAATTCAACTTATCGTATTATTAATACAAAAGTAAATAAGTGAAATAACTAATAATGATATAAATAAAATTAAAAACAAATGGACCACAGACCATCTTAAAATCGTTTTTTGTACCTACATAGTGATACAAAATAATTAACTTTCCTCGTTTTGTTTTATTTTTATTGCTCTTAAAATGTTATACTTATACATAATTTATCGAACTCAAATAACAAACCTCAACTAGTAAAGAATACACTAAATTCTAAATATCAGTAATACCTATCACAAAAAATTATAAAAAAAAAATGATTAAAAAAACGGTTTTAACTAGACAGTTTACTAGCAAGATTTTATTTTATATGTACACATTTTGTATTTGACTATTTGTAAATTTAAAGCGTTTTATGAATAAAAAAAATTCGGTTTGTCAATGTTTTTTATTGTTGTCGTATAAAATATATACACATTTACTTGACATTTGCATAATACAACTCATTGTTGTTCCCTATCTGTAAAAATTTAAAGACCATTTTTTAAAATTTAAACATTTAGAGCTGCTTATAAAATATACCAATCACATTGTCATAATAAATAAATAATATGATATCGTATAAATACTCTATGACGCTCAATGTGCAGTTTCAAGGCAAAACAAATAGTGCAATGCCTCAGCCGTATCGACACCGGAACAGACCGAATTGGAAGTTTGAAGAGAATATTATTCCCATTAAATGCTTCGCTAACGAAATTTAACTAAAAAAAGTTGCTATTTTAATAATTTTTTATAAATGTAGGTACCTACATATTATGATAAATAACGATAGATACGCTTTTCAATATAATAATTAGACAGGCGCCTTTTGTTTTAACTTTATTGGACACAAACCATGGAACCAAAATCAAACCATACTGCAGTTTGTTCCCAACTCGATATACATTGTACGATGTACTTAGTCCGTTACTCTGTTATAAATCCCACACACTATTAATGTAAAATGTGACATATGTACATTGTCCGAACTACGCAGAGCTCTATTCAAGGATAAGTAAAACCGTAGTGTGTTGTGCACTTGTGCATGGCTAATTTATAGGCTGACACATGCGGGCATAACGTCCACTTAAAAACATGTTGACTGTTTAATTTAATTTTTGTTTGAGTTTTATACAATTTGTCAAAAAATGACTTTTATAATAAGGTATTTATTCTATTATTATTTTGTTAAAAAAAAAAAAAAAAAAAATGCTTTTTTTATAAAGTCATTGATAATATCAATTAATAATTACATATATTCAAATTAATATAACTACTTTATTTACAATAAAAGTTAACAATTTTTATTTTTTTAAATCAGATGTTAAATTATATTATTTCTTCAAATGTTAAATTAATTACCTGCTGCCTTATCCAGATACAATTTAAGTTATAACATTGGCCATTGCAATAATAATATGCTATATACCTATTTATAAAATCAGTAAGTATTCCGGACGCTGGAAGACAGATGTATCGAAACATTCGAAACAGTAAGAAATTATCTTGATAACGTAAAAAATCCTTTAATATGTAATTGATTATGGTATAAGTCAATCTTAATATCAATTAAATAGATCGTGCATACTTTATTTTAGTTTAAAAACCAATGATAATGATTTATGCAATTATTATATTTTATAAATTATATTTAATTTCTGTACACACTGAAATCTATAAATATCACTTTAAAGGCTTTTTATTGATTGGTCTGATCATTATTTTTTTTAATTTAAGTTAAATCTAATATTTATTTCATATTTTCAGCATCTATATAATTTATAAAAAATGTATATTAGTTTTTGATATTTATATTACAATACCTTTCTAACTTTTAATTCAGTGGCTTAATTATTATTAATACGTAGACAAACAGGCAACAGCAGTTGAACATTGAACAGTAGCCAATACATAAATTACTAATTATTATACTGTTGTGTACGTTATTAACAATTTTATAATTATTAATACCGCGAATTTCTATCAAACGAATATATTTTTATTTTATAAGTACCTACAAAGATGCAACTTTTCTGTGTATTATAATATAATATGTTATAGGTAGGATCATAGTAAATAATTTTTAGACTTCTATTATTTTTTATTAGATTTTTTAGTTAGGTAAAGTTAGATTTCCAACAATGTTGATTACTTTTATTAAATTTTATGGAAATTTCGTCAATTTTAATAATATTATTGCAAAATACTTTGTAACAGTGTTTAATGTGTTTTTATTAAAGTATACAGGAGAATAATGTAATTTCTTCGTTTTTAACATAGTTTACGTAAAACTATGAAACATGTTTTTTTAATTTTCAATATATTTTTGTGATTTCAAACGCATTCTATCATGAGGTTTTATAATTTTATATTTTTTATATTCATAGCACTAGTCACAGCGTTAAAATCGTTTATAATGTACCAACGAACAACAATTAACACGACTGTTGTATTATGTTAAGAAGTGGGAAGACATATCGGTCGGTATCGGTTCCAGAACCACTATAGTAGAGGAGAGAAGCTTTTATCCAAGCTCGGCGCCTTATGGTTGAAATTTTCTACTCCGCCAAACAATGTACACGCTGTGACGTCGTCTGTATAGATGCAGTCCCCTGGCGTGTCGACGCTTTACGGCTTTGCAGCCCCGTCCGGTGACCAAATATTCGGACAGCCATTAACCGCCGATCACCACTAATGACACCGAACGATCGTAAAAAATTCCTGTACACTGCAGGCTAGACGTACCCATTGTTCGTTATCGTGTTTAATTATTATTATCGTACCTATTGCACACAAAACAACGCATTAAAAATCAATAATAACAGTATTATCAATAACATAATATACCTACGCAATACGTATAATAATTATTACGAGCAACGAGCGGATACGATTGCCAACGACGACCGATATCGCGACGATCACGTCTGGCGTGTACAGCACATCGACGGGCGGGGCCGCGTGGATGGTGGGGAACCGGGCGGCCGCCGCCGTCGCGTCATCAGTCGATCACTCAACGCGCTTGCCGTCGGGATCGTACGACTTACTGCGCCGCCGTTCTTATCAAGTAATCCCGATTTCAATATTCGCAATTGCTAGCGGTGAGCTGCTGTATCGTTTCCACCGTACGTATTGTTTCATAATAATATATCACAACTTATATCACGACGACGTCGAATATCAAAATAACAAACGTCAGTCGACCGAGACGTGCGATACCGTAGGTAAAAAAAGTACTCAGTAGTGCGCGGCCAACGACAATCGATTTAATAATATTGTTATAAAAGTACGGATACAGTAGATACTGCTACGACTTGAATTGCGTATGCCCCAAGTGCAGATTAATAATTTTTATTTACGATCTACCTCGGGCCGCCACGATAACAACAATCGTGTAATCGTCGACTTAGCAATAATATTGTTTTCCACCATAATCCACCTACAGATCTGTCGCCGCCGTCGACTTGATTGTTCGTTTTTTAATTATTTTATTTCTCGCGCACGTTCGTTTGTGTGTGTGTGTGTGTGTGTATGTCTGTGTGTTTTTGTTTGTTGTCGTTCGCGCGCCCGCGCGCATCGTACAAAGCATAATAATATTTTTTAACATAACTAACACAGTGAGACTTATTGTCTCACGCAGAACGACCGCGTACGTGTTTCTTCCGATATCGGCGTCCAAAAACGAACGGTAGGTTTTAACAAATTATATCTGCCTCCGTGTTCCGATCGACTTGTTACACACCGAGAAACAAAACATTGTTTCCCCGCCGTATATCTGAATAACTCGCTCACCAGCCCTACACGACTACTTCTTTATAGCGTCGTATCCATCTGGACGTAAATAAAACACGTCACCGTCGTTGTTCGCTTCCCATTCAGGCGCGTAAATGTAACTATGCAAGTGATTATCCGAACACCGTCACCGTTCACCCTCCCCACCCATTAACTACTGACATGATACTCTAATGTTCCTCGGTGTTCACATACACTTTTCGTTGCCACTCCCCTCCATAGTTTGTATATTTAATCGGTTTATTGATGATCTGTTGCAGAATTCAAAAAGCATCCCTGCATCTAAGATGTCTTCTTCACAGTATTCATACATATTCAAGTACATCATAGTCGGAGATATGGGTGTCGGTAAATCGTGTTTACTGCACCAATTCACCGAACAAAAGTGTAAGTGTCAATTTCACAGCAAAAATGGAATACTTCCAAGCATTTGTCGAAGTACTTACTTATCTTTATTTATCTACGTATCCAGTCACTGCCGATTGCCCGCACACAATTGGCGTAGAATTCGGAACAAGAATCATTGAAGTGTCTGGAAAAAAAATTAAACTTCAGATTTGGGACACGGCAGGACAAGAACGTTTCCGAGCAGTGACGAGGTTCAACTTTTTACAAGTATACCTTTGTACTATGAAAATTATATCTATTTTGCTACGTTGTTTAGATCGTACTATCGCGGAGCAGCTGGTGCATTGATGGTATATGACATAACCAGACGTTCTTCTTATAATCATTTGAGTAGTTGGTTATCTGATACTCGCAATCTTACAAATCCAGGAACTGTAAGTTTTTAAAGTTCAATATGATTTTTAGTTATCAAAATATTCGTACCAAATACATTTTAACAGAATTTTATCATTATAGCATGACAGTACCTATTCTATTTACATAGAAGTATATAATTGCTGTTTTATTTTAATAATTATCTAAATATAAAATTACTCATTGGCATAACTTCAGGAAATTTTAAAGGTAGGAAATTAAAAATTACTTCAGCAAATAAAAATTTTTAATACTACCTATCTGATAAAATTGAAAATAGTTTTCAATTTATTGCTGCTTTTTAGATAACACTTTTATTTTATACAAATAGATTTATGTTACTGGCAATAAAGCAATAACAATTTTGAGCATTGTTGGTTTTTCTGTGTTTTTACTAATACTGTATCAAATGTTCAGATTATGTATAATAGTTCACATAGATTGAGAGTGATCCATTAAAACAGCCTGTGATATTTAAATTTATTTATTTTTTATAACTATTGAATGGTTTAAAATTTATTTGAAAATATAAGTTTTGTTTAAACACCTTAGACACCTCCAATACTAAAATAAGTTGTGTTTAGGTATAATAGTTCATTTTTTTCTTTTAATTAGTTGAAAAATAAAGTTGTAATTTATCCTGATAAATGCAGAACATTACTAGTTTAAGAATTAATATCCCACTATCCCAAAGAATTCTGTGACTTAATAATATAATTTTTGAGTGAATTAAAAAATCGATCAGTTTCGCATAATACTTGAACAATTTCCATGATACAATTGAGCTGATAAGAATAATACAAATTGTATATATCTTTACATATCACAAAATATTTAATTGTAAAGTTTACAAACATTTTATCATTTTATTACAAATTAAGTTATGTTTTTATTTCATATAATACCCAATACAACTAATTATTAAATTTGCGTTGCCAATATAAGAAATACAATCTAATGATATTAATTGAAATAAAATACAGGCAATAAATAATTTGTACTTCAATTTTAATAATATTTAATAATTCATATGTATTGATATTAGATACGATAAAATGAGATCGTGGAAGACTGTAAGATTTTTTTAAATTTTAATCTGAACACTTAAAGTGCAAGAAATGAATTAATTTATAGATAGATACTTTGTTTTAAAATATTAATTTTTTTTAATAAATTACTTTCTTGTACACAAATAACATATAAAATATATTATCACATATGACAAAATGCTGATGGATTAAAATTGTCTATTTTAATTTTATTTTGTTTGATAAGATATAATCAAGAAAACTAAGGTAGTTGTTCTGCTATATAGTAGATTTTGGTATAACCCAAGGGTGGACTGGGTATCGAGGGGTCTGGAGGGTTAATCAACTAGACTTATTATTATCACATTTTAATTAATAAATATTTTTAGTTAATAGTGCTCAATTAATTTTATTAATTTGAAAATAAATGGTGTTTTACTTTTATATTTTATACATAAATATGTATAATTTTTATTAATTGAAACTATCAAGGGCTTGGGTGGTGATTGCCCCTTTGCCACCTTCGCCTCTGGTTTTACCTCATTATTAAAATTCACTGTAATGGAAATGTTAAATTTTAATTCAATAATGAATTATTACAAGAAAAAATTAAATAATAATTCTAAATAAAAATGGTATATCATATTTTATTTTTAGAATATTTTATAATTTATTTGTATTAAAATAATAAATTAATTTTTTTATTGGAGGAACCATGTATTAAATTCTCAGGTATTTAAGAAAGAAAAATCATTTTTGCCAAATAATTAAAAACTCTAAATGCTTAAATGCCATTATGTTAAAAATGACTTCTTGTTTGAATTAGACTGTAAGAGTACAATATTTCAAGTTATTACAGTTAATATTTTTGGTGGAATTTGTATTATATACCTGTGATTATCTAATGTCATATTTAAAAATCAAATAATCTAAAAAAAAAAATTATGTGGTTTGAAGCTGAACTTTTTTTTTAGTTTTAGTAAAATTATAATGGAAATTAATATAGTTTTCAAGCTTTTAGCTTAAAAATAAAATTAAAATATACTATTATATGTAAATTGAAAATATTATAAAAAACATTAAATATCTAAAAGATGCTAATTTTAATATTTACGAAAGTCTTAAGTATCTAGTATTTTACTCCTTATCCCTACTTCCAAACCATCCTAACCTAATGATTGAAGTAGTTTTACTGTTTCCAAGAGGAATGGCGTACAAAATAAAGGTATTATTGTAAATCTGATACAATTATCAAAAAAGAATCTGTAACATAAATAATAAACAAATAACTATATTTAATTTTACAAATTTTCTCAATTTTATCTTTCAGTTATTATTTGATAATTAACCAAACATAGTGTTCATTATTAAAGCATATATTACTAAATTTGTTTCTATTGTTATGTTTAGGTTATTAATACATAATACATGCAGTAATTTGTACTTTATAATCTATTATTGGTTAAATTTAATATGAAATATGTACTTAAAAGATATTTTTTAACCAACTATTCTATATCTTTTATATTATAAAGTAAGCATTATCAAAATAGTTCTTAATTTTATTTAAATTTGAATTAAAAAATCCTAAATATTCTGAACTAGTTATGGTATACATTTATAAAAATGTTGTTTGGATAATAATTTTCTTAGATCAATATTAATAAACAATAATAACACAAACACCTACTATGAATTTATAATGTGTGAATATGACTATTTTTTATTTTATTTTATCTTACCAATTAATGTTTCATAGATTAATATTGTATTTAATTTATTGTAAAGGTGATTTATTTGATTGGGAACAAGTTGGATATGGAAAGTAATCGAGATGTGTCCTATGAAGAAGCCAAACAATTTGCTGATGAAAATGGATTAATGTTTTTGGAAGCAAGTGCCAAAACGTAATGATATATGTTTAATAATAGAACTTTTTCGTGTCATTTTTTATTTGATTATTGATAAATTATTTTTTAATATTTAGCGGAGAGTATGTTGAAGATGCTTTCCTTAAAACTGCTCAGATAATTTATGAATGCATTCAAGATGGAAGGTATGTTATACAAAATTATTTAAATGTAATACAATACTTATTAGTGAATTAAAAATGATTTAAACATCTAACACGTTGACTACCAGATGTTTGCCGACAACTCAAGTCATATCAGCGCGTATCAGGCCATATAATTTATACATTAATAAAAATAGCTCCAATTCTTCAATTTAAAAAAAAAGCTTATATTTTTAGAATCTGTTGAAGGAATTTGTTTTTTTGTTTTTTATAAATGTTCAAATTCTTTTTGTCTGTGCCATGGTTCAATATAAATACTATTTCTCCAAGCATTGAAGAATTATATGTATTTAATTTTTCTGATATTAAATTGGGTAGCGGGCAACCCAAGTGGCTTCACATTAATAATATGATTTAGGTCGTCGGCATCCTAAATAACTTCACAATAAAACCATTACTTTCGTTTACTAGTGGGTATTATGAGACAGTCAACGTGTTAATAATTAATATATCGTAAATAAAAAATATTATATAATAATACATATTATTTTTAAGTCTCTTTGAAGGCTGTTAATATTTTTGTGACGTAATAAAGATAGAGAACATTAAGAAAACAAAATTGTGTTGATTAATAAAGAGAGCTGTAATTTGATCATATATTATACTTACACTTAATGGTTGTTAATAATTATTAAAACCATTTAAATATTTTGAAAAAAAATATAATCTACTCTTATGAACTTCATAAAAAATTTATATAATTTTTACATATGACTTATCAAATTTTCAAAAATGAATTTTTTTATATACCAATATATATTTGCTTTACTCAAAATTTAAAATATTATTTATAATGTAACACTATTTCAAAAAAAATTTATTCATATCTTGTTTTTTATATTATAGACTTGATTTGAATGCTGCTGATTCTGGAGTACAACAGAAAATCCTTCAATGTGAAGCCAATACAAATGTGGAAAAAGATAAATCTTGTATGCAATGTTAAGGTAATTAGATATTTATTATTAATATTCATCATTAATAACAATTAATTAATTAATTTTTATTTTCAGTAAAATATTGTTGGATGGAATCTTTTATTTCTATATTATTTTATGATATGTGCTATTTTTTTCTGTCTTAAATTATAATAAGTTTCGTAACATTCTTTATTCATAGATATTATTTATTATCAATTTATTTTATATCTATTGAATTGTAAACAAATCCACATTTGCCCACTCATATATATATATGTATATATATATATATTATTTATATATACCTTAGTTGTTTTAAAACTTATTTTTAATTTATATAATTATTATTAACTTTCTCAACTAAAGATAAATATATTATAAGAAATTGTTAATCAATTTGTATTAAGTACATTTATATTAATGTCACATATTATAAATGTATGCATATCTAACGTATGAAATGAATGTATTTAATATATTATAAAAACATTTTTTTTTTTTTTTGGTAAATGCTTTAATAGTCTTTAAGTATTATTTTTACTATTTTCACTTATGTTGTTTACCAAAATCAAATTCAAAACTTAATTCTTTTATTGTCCTATAATATTATTTATTGTTGTTTAAAACATCTTAGTTTTTACTCTTGTAAGTTATAATTTACAGTTCACCATCAACCATTTTTTAAGTTAAAATTCTTAAAATGTAACTTAAACTTTTAAATCAAAATTGATTTAATTAATCAATTCATAATTGTCATCAAAAATACTTATAACCAACAAGAATTTGATTATATATTTTTAATATTTATTTTCCATTTGAGTAAAGTATTTTTAGTTTTCTGATATATTATAAAGTTAGAATATATGTCTCACTAAATATTATAGTAATAAGATTTAATTTGTAAGTCATTAACCTTTAGATCAACAGATCTAATTACCACAAAAATCATATTATTCTAAGAAAAAAAAATTAAATACACAATTCATTCAGTAAAATTCAAGATTGAAATTTTAAATGATGAGTGTTACATAATTTTATCATTTTAGAAATTTCGAGAGTAATTTGTGTTAAATAATATATTAAGTATAAAAAAAAACAAAATGTATCTTATAAGACAAAACATGTTGATATCGCTTTTAATTCACGGTCAATAGTTATTATTGTCAAATGAATTTATCAAATCTTAATCTTATTCATTGCATATGTTTTATGTGCTAAACAAAACTATTAATCCATATTTTAAAATTATATTTATAATTTTTATGTAAACTATTTATATTACCTTCAGGGGTTTTTATAAAAATATACTATTTAAATTTTATTCTACATAATTAATTAAATAAAAATAATATAATTTCTAACCTGTAGTTTTTGATTTACCCATTTTATTTAGCTGATAACATTTTTGTACAATTGTACATTAGTATTATTATTATTTGTATTTAGGATAAACACATGAAAAGTAACTTGTAAAAAACAAAATTTTTGTATGAAAGGTATAATATTTTCATATTACAGAAGTAGTAAAAACTCAAGTTTTCTAATTAAAATTATTGAAAATTAAATATATAAAGACAATATATTAGTTGCTCAATACTTCTCTAAATTGAATGGGACTAAAGCAAAAAAAATTTTCTCGTTTATCTTTTAATTCACAGTTATATATAGTACTTTCATTTCATTTATCTGTTGATCTATCAGTATTTACAATATTTTATATGTTTTGGTTTATAGCTAAAGCCAAGGTTCATATGCAATTCATATTTTTAAGTTTATGACTTAGAATAATGCTATTCAAAAATATATAATTTTCATGATGTAAGACTCAAGTTCATATGTATTTTTACATTGTTTAGAAGATAAAAAAATGCATGAAGTTAAATTGTTTATATAATTATATAAATGTGGTTATTATTTATTATTGAAAGACTGATTTACAATCTATATTTTCAATTATATAGTAAGTAAATAAGATGACATATACAGAATATATAACAATAAATTATGATTTGATGAGAAAGGATATCCATTAATAGAATCTTTCAGAATTTTATTTTTGAACCAATAAGATGTGACACCAATGTCTTGACAGTGTGAAAGATGACCAAGGAGTGTAAGTTAGAATAAGAAAGAAATATAAGGATTTAAATGGTACAAATTTTGTGAATAACATTTTGTTTAGTTTTTTTTAGCTAATTGATCGACAGTATCTATATTTAAGTTATTGTGTAGTGCTTTGTTTGTTGTACACCACTGTGCTCAGGCTATGAGATGGAAGCAAATAATAAATCTGAGTATGAATTTAATGTGTTGTTGAATGATTTATCCCAAACCTAAATTGCAAGTTGGGTATTATGTCTTAGGAATTTGTTTGTATATAACTTAACAAATACTTATTAATATAGTTAATATTTTTAATTGTAATTTTTTTAATAGTTCTAAAATTTTAGAATGAATATTCTTAAAAATAACCTTGGACAAAAAATTGGATTAATTTATAAATAGGATGAAATCGACAAACTATCAGTTTAAAATTTTTCTAATTTTAAATACTTAAAAATTGTACTGTGTTATGACGTGACATTACTATAGAGATGAAATTTTTCATTAGATAGAACATAAGACTAAAAATTAAAATCTTAAATCAGTTTTTGTTATTTTTTAACAATGTATAATTTAAAATAATATTACATTACACAATATTTTATTTAAATAAGTAAGTATTAATACTATTTATTATTTTTAAAATATGTTTTTGACTTTAGAAAATATAAGTATAAATTTTAATATTAAATAATTTTGAAAATATGTTTAAATAAGTGAATTTTTTATGTTATACTGTACTACTATGTATTTTTAACACATCCACAGAAAACATTTTTAAAAAAGTATTAAAGTACAATTTACTAGTAAAATACACCTATGATGTTCATAATACATTTTATAATAATAAAAATAATTGAATAATAGTATTGATAAATGTATTCAACAACTCAATAAGATTTACATAAAATCTAAATTTTTTTTAAACTACTTTTGATTGCACTTCCGGTTAAATTAATAACAAGACTTGAATTAATTTTTATTTAATTTATTAGATGTTAATGTGTGTGTTAAAATATCTATACAATTTTGTATAAAATGTAAATAACTGTAAAGTTACTTAATAATCAAACCAGTATATAAATGTATATTTTTAAGATTAATTGTATAAAAGTTGAAAACCAATAGCAAATATATTTTAATATTATTCTAAAATACTAATGATCAATGATAAATTTATTTCTGTCACGACTCATAGAAACTATATCTTTTACACATTGAGGTCGAGTAGGGAAAAATGTATTAAACTTGAGTTTTTTTTTTATTGGTTTATTCTTATTTGTATTCTATTTATTCTTTAACATTTCTTCTCAGCTAGTTTTCGATAAAATCGGTCTTGTTATTTTGAGACATTTGAAATTTTCAATTTGAGACTTTTTTTTTATAATTAGTTAAATCTAATAAAATGTCTGTTAGCACGTAAATTAGTTTGATAATTTAATACAAGGTAAGTTGTTTTTATTGCAATTCAATTGATACAAAAGTTGTTATTTTTTTGAAAAAAACTTTGATCTAGCTATATTGTATTTTTATTTAATGTTAGAATACTTAAAAACGATTCATTCGATCAAACGTGCTACTTCATGCACTTTTATTATCGTGTTTAATTTATTAAAAATGTACAAATCTATATGAATATCTGTAGATTCAGATAGTCTATTGGCTAGGAATGTCTTACTTTATTATTATTAATAAAAAATAACACAATTTTAACCTATGCCATTTCAAATTAAAAAAAAAATCATATATACCACTGTCTAAGTACTTATTTTTACTTTCCACTATTATTAGTAATATTAAACGCTTAAATATATATATATCTGTGTTATAAATTGTAAACTTTAATTTATTTTATAATAGGTATAAAGGATCAGTATTAATCATGTACAAGCATAATATATACTGCCCAATGCACATACATATGCTATACATACATCGTACCAACATAATATAATTTATAATATTACCTTATATATTAGGTGTAGTTTGACATTTGTCATTTGATGTTTATACGTAAATGTGATTTGAACCATCAATATTAGTTAGTTATTTACATTTTGTATTCTTGTACCTGACCAACATTTTAGTAAATTTTAACGTTAATTTTTAACAATTACTTATAAATTAGGATCTAAGTTTTAGATAATAATCTGTAATACATTTTAACCATTTTTAGTAATAACTAATCGATTAATTATTGTCCATCTCCTATGATCATACATTCATGTGTATGTTCCATACTTTATACTATTATGTCTACCGACTAACCAAGCACTGATGGTATATAAAGAAACTCTAAACCCTCGTCATTAATATTTCCTTCAACTTCGTTAAATTAAGAATTTAAAATAATATTTTTATGTGATTTTTTTTTAATAATTGTTTTAATGGTATTTTTCGTTGTACCTTGTATTTATTTTACACTACAAGATTCTATAAAATGTTTTGTGATTCAATGGTTTTAAAATTAAGCTAAATCTTATGATTTAGTACAACATGGACAGTATGAGACAGAGTCTCCATACAGTATTTCTACTTAGAAACTAACTATCTCTTTTTAAATATGTCTCGGATAGGTACAATGTGTGATTAAATGATACACAACACACTGTCTTACATTTTAATGTGAATATATAAACAATAGGTATTTTAATACCCAATGAAGTGAATAGAGCAATAAAATAGAAAACCACAGGTTAAAATACATCAAATATTCTACTTTTTGTGCTTTCACTGTATTAAAAATGTTTAAACAATGTAGATACTAGGTACTATTGCTTGAAGTAGGTAACTAAAATTTACCGCCAGTATTAACAACTTATAATCGTGTTGTTTAGGTACATTCACATTAAATATTTGAAATGATTAGATAGATGCTTATTTAGAATAATTTTTTAATTTTTTTGTTTGCTTCACTTAGGAGTTAGTAGTTTGTACAACAATACAATATTATACGTGCTTATAATAGTATATAATTAGGTTAGGATCTATAAATGAATGATACATAATATTAAGACTTACTAACTTAAAAATACATTTTGAGAAGACTAGAAATACTTGTGTAATATAATATTACGTTTACATACCTAAGTTTAGTTACTTTCATAACTTTTAGTGTTATAAACATCATACTAAAATCTCAAAGTATTTCAACATGTTTATAGTAAAAGATTATTTTTAATAATTAAAGGAGAAAATTTAACGGTTTACTGTTTGAACATTTCAAAAAACAACCAGCAAGATTTTAAGAAAAATGGTTTAATTTATTTTTATCAACATAATAAAATTTAAATAAACTTATTCATATTTTTTTTTTTTTTTTAATGGTGTGTTTTGTTAAATTATGCTTAAATTTAAAGTTTAAGATTACGTTGAAAGTAAACTGCTTCATTGTCAGCACCACAAATAATTTGTTGTTTTTGTATATCCAATGAATTTATTGGCATATAAATTGGTTGTATCACGTCATTGATTGACAATTGTGTTTTTATCTTTTCCGTGTTCACCCAAAAATTTGAATATTCCATATCCCCTAAAACATTAATTTAATTAAACTACAATTAAAATTATAAAACTATCATCATTCATGAACGTTTTAATTCTTATTATGGGCAAAACTAGGCTTAGTTACATTGACAATTTTTTAAGGTCAGCAGCAATCATGATTGCTACCAAGTCAATCCTATTTTGTACATCGAGTGCGTTGTGCCTTATCTGATGCAACTATTGTATATAATAGATTATCCTGTTTTAATTTTTACATAAATATTCTATAACAGATCAAGACTTTATTTTTAAATATTACGATTGAGAATCAGTATAATTTGATTTAGACCACATAAAAAAAATTATCATTTTATAATTATTTTTTATTATGTGTCATAAAATGTGTTAATTGTCTCATTAGTTTTAATACCCATATACAAATCTATATACCTAAGTCAATACGACGCATATGAGATTGTTTAGAACTCCATTGTAATAATCTTCCTCCAAACGAACACGTAAACAAATGGTCTGGTTCTAAAGGGTGGAATGCTATCTCAGCAAGTGATGATACATCACCACTACTCATAGTTGTTAATAAGCTGTTAGTTCTCATGTCCCAAACACCAATATCTCCTTCTTCAGAACCAGTGAAAATAAAATGCTTTTGACAAGGATGTTGAGCAATACATGTTATTGGCACTTGAGTCTAAAATTCAGATGTATAAAGTATTTTGTATGAAACATTACATGATTATTATTAATATTACCTGAGAGAAATTATTGATGTTGGCAGTTATACTACTTTTAGCAACTCGTAAATCCCAAACTTTCATTTGGCTTAGTGAATTGCAGCACAGAACTTCATTATCAGTTAAGAAACAAATGCATGTTAAAGGTGAGCTACATATGCCTTCTAAATAATTAAACATTCATATTACATGTAAATATTTATTAAAAATTAAAATTCTTGAATTATTAAAAAAATATTTAACTAGTTAAATTAACAAATCAATAAAATATTAACTTACCTAAAACTTGATGAATTTGTTTAGTGTTTAATGATATGACATTAAGTTTATAATCATCACCAATAGTTGCTAATGTATAGTTACATATAGCAAGATCTTTGCAAGAGCATCTCTGTCCTTCGCTGTAAATAATAATATATTAAATTCAAGTCATGCTAGCAAAGGAAATTAGATCACAGCATTAATTCATAGGTATTTTCTGGTTAAAATTATTAATTTAAAAATGATAACTATTCAATATAATTACTATAACACATATAAATGATCCAAATACCAAAGTAAAATACAATTATAAACTTACCCAATTGAATGTAGAGTTTCCCAAGCCATTACTTCATCAAGATGGATATTAGAATCTTCTTCATTCTCGCCAATGACACGATATACTTTAACTGCTCCATTGTCAGTACTAACAGCTATAAATTTGTTGTCAAAAAACTAAAAACAACAATAAATAATATTTAGTTAATCTAATAAAAACTGTATAGCATTTATTATTATTAAATAAATAAATAATTTAAAACATCAATAACTGTAAATAAGTTATCAATAGTTTATTAAATTTATTAATGTCAATAATAAGAGAAAATTAGAGTGCACATCTATATATGTGTGCGACTCGATGGAATAAGAATATTTCATCTTTATCCTATTAAAAGACTTCACTAGTCTACACTTAATCAACCATTACTAACTGTTGTAAACGTGAATAATACTAATATTATTATTATGCATACTCTTATTTGTGTAACATTTCCGTTTTGATGTACACTATCCAAAAGTTTTGGAGGAAAATCTTTGACGTGATTTTCTTTTTCTGAAGTCAGTCCCCACAACTCCAATACATTATCCTGTAATAGGGAAAAAAACAAATTAAACGCTCGTGTATATTAATCTACATACCAATCTATTAATCTCACCTCTTCGTTGTCCCATGAACCGGTGACAAACATTGTCGATGCCATCAGGTCATTGGGCTTCCATCTCACCTTATTTACCTTTTTACCGATAAATTCTGCAAACATGCTCACATTACTCATTGTTGTAGTTCGATGCGTTTAGGTCGGATTTCCTAAAGTCTATATGGATATTAAAAAAAGCTCTTCGAAATAATCCAATACGTCTAATGGCTTTACAGAATACCAAACATTTCAGTATTAGTTTATAATTATATATTCAGTCATCGAGATTAGAGATCCGATAAATAGCTCCCTCTTCAACTGAAGTTATCGTCGTAAATTGAGCGATTGATAAGATAATAATACCAACACAGAATTACTATAACGAATTAAAACATCAAGATAAAAAATAAAAATGTTATTTACAACGTGGTTATTTCATAGACATTATTTGAAAATTATAAATATTTTGATTCTATATGTGATTTATGGTTTTTCTCATTATTCTGAGTCTTCGTTCTAATCATATATAAGGTATTTTATATAAAATATCAACCCTTATCTATTATAATGAAAATTAATTATACGTAAACGTGTCAAGCTACATCAACAGTACATTATATATTTTTATTTATTTTTTTTTTGAACAAATTTGAACCTTGGGTAGTGAAAAAGTTAGTATGTATACAATATTTTCCTTTTAACTTTATTCACATTGCTCAAATTATCTGTGTTAATTTAAATGTATACAATATATTTAAAACTCAGGTAAATCAAAAAATCAAAGAGTATTTCTGAAATGGAAAAAATGTTTGTCACTATTATTTTTTTAAATTACTAAAATTTTATTAAATTCATTACTTGTTGATGTATAATAGTGTATTACTATTATGCAAGTACGTACTATTTATAAAATGAATTAAATTATTGTATGTTTTATATTATTTGTCAATTTATAGGAAAAAAGTAAAAATCAATATGAATAACAAATGTTCAAAAAGCTTCTGCACCTAAAAAAAACCTGAGAAAATACCTGAATCACTTCCTTTATTTCAGACATTAGGTTAGTTTGTAAAAAAAAACCTGAATCTATGCAAGCTGGATTTGTTGAAGTTCGAAGATGTAGAAGAAGAGTCGGCTTATAAAAATGTTGTGAAATTGGATAATAAAACCTTTTAAGATGAATTCAGAAAAGGTTTGTATTTTACTTCAAATTATTTTTGTATTTTAAAAATAATTAAATTTAGTTATTAATTGTTAAGGTAGTTAGTGCTGTTGACGTTGTTTTAAAGGTAGTCGATGCACGTGATTGAATCAGCACAAGACTTTGGAAAAAAACTTGTTGTGGTATTGAACATAACTGACTTGATTCTATCAAAAATAGTTTATGATTGACTGTCCTATTTCAGAGGGCAATTAGGAACTTAAGCATTACCAATTTATACCTAGTACTCAACAATCTAGTTCGCAAATTGGTCGTAGAAAAATGAATCAATGTAAAAAAGATACAGAAAAAGCTGTTAATCTGTGTGTTGGTGCAAAATTAGTTATGACTACTGTCATAGTAACAATGAAAACATGAATTGTTTAGGTGTTGTAAGTAAGAAAATTTTTTAAGAAATAAATTTATAGTAAATTATAGTTAAAATTGTTAATCATAACATCATAATATTATACATATTTACTTTTCTTTTTGTTTTAACTTGTTTTAGGTATGCCTAATGTTGGTAAAAGTAGTTTGATTAATAATTTAAAAAGGTCCAGAACCTGTTCAATTGGAGCTGTTCCTGGTGTAACCAAGTATAATAATTTGATTTTAATTTTACTAAATACAAGCTATAGTTTAAATACCAATAATTAGTTTAAAATAAAATATTGTTTATATATTATGTGAATAAATATAATTGATTGTTTGAATTATTGTTAAAACTGATAGATTTAAAAATTCAGTTTTAGGAACATGCAAGAAATCCAGTTGAATAAACATATTAAATTATTGAATTGTCCAGATATAGTTTTAGACAAAACATCTACTACCAGTAGCGTAAGATTGAAAAATGTTGCAAGTTCTGGAAATATTGAAGAATCTATTACTTGTGCTGCTACAATTGTGAGACATGTAACTAAAGAATAGATATATAATTTATATTATTGCAAATCAGTCATTGTATATTACATAACTCCTAGCTAAAGATATTATTTATTTTATGAACTTTTTTTAGTTGTTTTATCTACTTCTCAAGTATGAAAAAAAAGTTTCGACTAGTAATAAATAATTTTTTTATAGTTTAGGGTGTGCTTTAAGAATTTTATTAAAAAAGAAAAAAAAATTAAAATTAATCTATTATACCAGTAATCGGCAACCTCTTTAAACTTTTGGGTCGCATCCAAAATCAAAAAAGTTTCATAAGCTATATCATGTTACATATAAAATAGGTATTCAATTTAACTGTCATTTAGAGCAGGCCATATGGAATAGTTGTATAGGATTGAGTGGTTTCTAACCACTCTATTATCATCTATTATTGATGTTTTTAGAATCACTAATTTTTCTGATAAATAAAAAATAAAAATAATTCTCAGTACTCAAAACAGTAAATCATTATATTTTAAGCATAGCTTATAAAAATTATTATTTTATGTTACTTACTACCCAACACTGCATGTAAGATATTTTTTTCATTTGTCTATGTATACATTTTAGAAATATCAAATGTGATTTATTATCTAGTTTATTTATTAAAATAAATAAAGATATCTAAATCTAATTAATAGTTGAATATATAAATGTTTATAAGTCGACAAGTCGTACTTGATTGGAGTTTGATGAGTTGCATGTTATTTAATTTGAATTTATTATTTTATTAAATACCGTAATTAAGGAAGTACATTTTAATTTTGTGTTTGAATAGATGCACAAGTTATATAGAATTTGACAATATGAATCATGTGAACACTTTTTGTATTTAAAAGCTAGACGATTTGGAAACGTTGGTTGAAATGAAATTCCAAATATATTTACATCAGCCTGCAGCTTGGTTAAAAATTGGAATTGGTATATATTATAATTTTTTTTTAATATCTTATAATAAATATTTTATTTTAGAGGAAAAATAAAATATAATACTCTTCCAACATAAAATGAAGCAGTCCACTTAAGTGCACAAATTTTTTCTGATGTAATTGGTGTATTTAATTTAGATGATGTACAACGAATATAAACAGAATTCATGGAGGAACTTTACAAGTTTCAACCTCAATCAACTGGCGATGGAGTGATAACAGATACAATGAATACAGATGATAAATCAATGGTATTAGTTGATGATGGTATACTATATGTTATTTAAAATATCCTTGATCTTACTCTCATAAGTTGTAACTTATAGTCCAACATCAGCCATTTTTCAAGTTAAAATTCTTAAAATGTTGTGATTTGAACTTTTAAATCAAAATGTATTTAATTAATCAATTCCTATTTGTCATCAAAAATACTTATAACCAACAAGAATTTAGTTATATATTTTTAATATTTATTTACCATTTGATTAAAGCATTTTTAATTTTCTGATATATTATAAAGTTAGAATATATGTCTCACTAAATATTATAGTGATAAGATTTAATTTGTAAGTCATTAACCTATAGATCAACAGATCTAATTACCACAAAAATCATATTATTTTAAGAAAAAAAAATTAAATACATAATTCAATCAGTAAAATTCAAGATTGAAATTTTTAATGATGAGTGTTACATAATTTTATTATTTAAGAAATTGCAACAGTAATTTGTATTAATTTATATATTAAACATTAAAAAAAAAAACAAGTTGTATCTTATAAGACAAAACATGTTAATATTGCTTTTAATTCACCTTTCAACAGTAAAGTTATTATTTAAAGAGAATTTGTTAAATCTTATAAAGTACTTTTATTTTGTTTATCTGATGATCTTTTAGTATCTACAATACTTCATGTTTTATAACTAAAGCCAAGATTAACATGCAATACACATTTTTAAATATTATATGACTTGAAATAATGCAATTCAAAAATATATGTATTTCATGATGTAAGGCTCTTGAGTTAATATGTATTTTTACATTGTTTAGAATACAAAGAATATATAAAGTCAAATTGTTAAAAAAATTGCTCAATACTTGTTCAGTATTAAAATACATGTAGGTTTACCTATAATGATGAATTATGATTTAATGTGTGTCAATCGCTTTCAAAATTATAAAACAATTAACATTATATAGGTACTGATGTTTGCGGTAGCTGCGCTCAAACATTTGATCTGAATCCTACTAATGACCTTAACGTTTAACAAATCTCTCAAAACGGACAAAAAGCAGAAAAAGAGTAATAATAATAGCAATAATAACGACTGATAACGAAAACGGGCGGTCGGTGGAAATATATTAAATATAACGGCAATACGACATAGGTAAAAAAAAATCTAATTTTCTGATGGGTAGTACCTCACATGGAGCGTCACTTCCAGCGAACAACGGCGCAAACACAACACGTTTTATAATATGAGGAAAGAAGACAAGATAAATTATAGTATTGACGGCATGGTGGCAAAATCCCCACCCAGCCTCTCTATTTAGAAACTAACTAGGTAGGTACCTATCTCTTTTTAAATATGTCTCGGGTAAGTACAATGTGTGATTAGATGATGCATAACACACTATCTTACGTTTTAATGCGAATACCTATACATGTAATTACTAATTATGCAATAGGTATTTTAATACCTAATGAAGTGAATAGAGCAATAAAATAGGAAACCACAAGTTAAAATACACCGAATATCCTACAGTGCTGCGCTTTCACTGTATTAAAAATGTTTAAACAATGTAGCTACTAAGTGGTATGTAAGTACTATCGCTTGTATAAGTAACTAAAATTTACCGCCAGTAGGTAGATAATATATACAACTTTACTTATAATCGCGTTGTACATTGACATTAAATATTCGAAATGATTAGGTAGGTACTTACTTTGAATAATTTTCTGAAATGTCACGAGGGTCGAGATAGACGTCTGCATAATTATTGTTTCGTGACGCATTTTAATGTATTTCGTTCGCTTTACTCAGTAGTTAGTAGTTTTACAAATTACAACAATACGAATACTATGATATTATACGTGCTTATAAAAGTATATAGTTTCTATGCATTTATACGTATTTAGACATTGAGTCATAACACTCATAACTCATAAAGTTATAAGTACTGTGTATTGTAAAAAAATATTTAAAAACAACTATTTTAAATTGTATTTTTATCAGATTAATAAATAGATGACTATCTGTAATCATCATTAGTAAAAATTATAAATAAAATAATTAATATTAATTATAAAAAAGTGTCATTAGAAAATATGAAAATTGATTACATAGAATATTACTTATTTGTGATGTAAATATGGTCATATGGAAGTTAACCGCACCTTCCCTCCAAAACCACTGTATAACAAGAAAAGAGGTCACGATTATTTAAAAAATATTATACACGTATATACCTAACATATCAGTTTATGTATTGATATTTTAGAACAAAAGAATATCAAAGTTATGGGATTAATAATTAATTTCCAAATCGTAGTACGAATATATCAAATAAAATCAAGGTTTGATAACTATTTCGGTGATTATTTAATTGACTACTAAGTTGTTTTTAAAATTAGAGCTTTTATATGCGAATATTGGTAAATTCTTATAAAATATAAAATAATTACATTGCTATATATTTTCTATTCATTGGACAATAGTCCTATAAAAATTCGTCCGAATATAAAAATAGTAGAATCGTAGATTTTATTTTATAGGATTAAAAAAGTCATTGTAGTTATCCGCTTTGTTGAACAGTGCTTATATTTTATGTATTTTAATATTTTTAAAATAATTTTTTAAAAGAATACTAAGTTTTCATAATTTTTATTAACAAAATAAATTAGCTAAATACTATTCTACTGTACAGTAGGTATCAAGTAGCCAGTAGGTCACTATTATAGGTGTGTTAAATTTGAATTCAAAGGTAGGTAATCATATTATATACGAAAAACAATTCTGAGCGGAAACGATTTATCAGCCTATACTACTAAAATACTAAGTACTAAGTATGTTTTTTTTAATATAGCTATTAAAATTAAAGTAATTTATTATAATAAGTTGAAATAATTTTTTTCCAAAAATATTGCATTTATTATGTTATTAGTATTTAATTATTATAATAAATAATAATATATTTAAACCATATTATATCAACTTATATAACATAAAATATATTAACACCTTTCTGTAAATACCGTAAAACAGTAAAAATAGAGTTACTTTAATACCTATTAATAAATAATATTTTTAAATTAATCAAACATTGCATGGCGTATAAAAAAATTAATAATAATATATTAATATAAATTAAATAAAAATTTTAATTCACACAATTATTATTTCTAAATTATAACAAAACAATAATTAACATATCATTCATTATTATTTATTTATCATTTAAATAAGTGATTCTGTCTAAATCGGAACTACAGTGTCTATATAATTGTCTTTGTACATTTTTTAGATTTTAGGATTTCATTATGAACTACTTATAAAAAAATTTTGCATTAAATTTTCAAAACCAAAATATAAAAAGAAAAGTTTCTATGAACTTTTGAGTACAATATAGTTTGCAATTTTTTTTAATTCTTAAAAAAAAATTGTGCCTATGTATTTTTAATATTTCTATATTATTTTAACCCTGTGAATAATTTTTTATCAAAACTATAGAAAACAAAACAAAATTTTTTTTAATTTCTCATACTTATAAATATCTTGAAAAACTTAAAAAAATTGATTTTGAGTTTAATTATTTAGGTTATAACTAGAGCGCAGATTTTTATGCAATTTCATGTTTTTTTCGCTTTTACTGTTTTGGATTTTTGTCAGTTCACGAATCATAACAATTTGAATTTAATGGTGATTTTTTTGTTCATATTTCTGCATATTTAATAGTTATTGCATATTTCTACAAAATTCGAAATATATTGCATAATAAAGCAAAAATTTAAAAAAAAATTGTGTAAAACAATATTTTGTGAAGTAGAAATATTAAAAATAATTTTGTTGACATTAAATTATAACCATAGCGCGGATTTATATGCAATAACTTATTATTTTATTTTTCATTTTTTAAATTTTTTTTTCAGTTATCTTCACGAATCATAAGAATTTGAATTTAATGGTGAAATTGTATTTGTACATTTTTGTTTATTTCTACAAAATTCGAAATATATAGCATATCAAAACGAAAAAATTTTATATACTTAATTTATTTAAGTAATTAATTATTGTATGTTGTTTAATTTTTAAATTTTATATAAATAAAAAAAATGTTCTTGCGTATTTGTTGCATATTTTTATGATTCTTACTGCATATATTATATGGCATATTTCGATACTTTTTAGTGCATAAAAATCCGTGATCTTGTTATAACTAATAAATCAATGAAAATTTTTTACAAAACATTAAAAATGGTCAAATACATTGAAATATTCGAAATGTCTTAATGGTGGTTAGGAGTTTGGACGTACGTAAATGGCTAGGTATATAAGTATATTATAGGTACCCGTATGGCTGTATTTTAAATTTTAATACTCTACACAGAATTTAACATTTTAACTTAATGCATATATTATAAGAATAATATTTGTACCCACCTAAAAGTAAAACAGTGAAAAAACTAAATACCTAAACACAAAAATGTAAAAATGTGATGACTCCTATGTTTGTAATTGCTAATTGTTAAATTATTTTTAAATATAACATTACAATATTGTCAACAACTAACATAGGTACATATCTTACATAGTGATGTCTACAAAAACAAAAATAATGATAATTATTTTTCGTGTTATGTATATAATAACTACCTACCACAGTATACTGTAAAAATATATACTTCAGAATAG